CATGGTTGTTTCACAAAAATGCACATGGGCGGGACCAGTGTTGCGGCGTAGTGGGTTATCTGAGCATCGTGTCTGATCCAGCTCCCTGCTAATGTGTCTGGGAAAGCAGCTGAAGATGGCCCAAGGGCGTGGGCCCCTGCCACCCACGTGGGAGACCAGGATGAAGGTCTGGGCTCCTGGCTTTGGTCTGGTCCAGCCCCAGGTATTGCGGCCATCTGGGGAGTGAACTGGCGGATGGAAGATCCCTCTCATCTGCGTCTCCCTCCCTCTGATACTCTGCCTTTCCAATAAATAAAGACAAAACAAAACGCATAGGGGCTTTGAACAAGACTTACAGATTGAGCCAAAGCGGAGGACCCCCTTTCCCATCTTTCTTCTCAAAGCAGCACCTTCCAAACAGTCAGGAGGGGGTGGGGCGCCTCTGTGCTGGGTGAAAACAGCAGAAGCCGCGCCCCTCCCCCAGGGCTCGGGGATGAAGGAGGATATGATGCCCCGCTTCGTATCTAATCTGATTTCCAACCAGACCTACTGACTCAAATCATCTTCCACTGCTGACAGCTGGGGCAAGAAGCAGCCACAGTCTCCCAGGAGTGCCCGGCTCTGCCCTCGGTCCCCACCACTCCAGCGCGACAGTCCGGGGTTTCAGCTTGTATCACTCCAGCAACCGGGAGCTCACTCCTGGTGGAAGAGGTGTATGGACCCTTCTACTGAGCGGAAACCGACAGGACCCCCACAGTGCCTGGTGTCTGGCGCTGGAGCCCTACCAGCTACATCCCTGCTTCTTCCCCAAGACAGAGGCCCCTGGGACAGTGCTAGGTGAGCGCTTCCTGTGTGACTCAGTTTCCCATCCCCACCCTTTAGGTCACCTCCGCATGATGCTCCCCATCTTTCCCGCCATCTGGAGCCCAGACCACCTCAGACCCTGCAGAGGAGGGCTGAGCAGTGCTCAGGAGGGCAGGTCCTCGCCAAGGTCCCCAGACTGTGGCTCAGAAAAGCAGCAGTGGCCAGACCCTGAGAGACCATGGTGCAGAAGGGGAAACTGAGTCAGCAGGCCCCGGGCTGCCCGCATGGGGCAGAAGCAGGAACAGGATCCTGATCCTGAAGACACTGAACAGCCAGCCTCCTGCCAGCATGCCTCTGGTGTGGAGCCAAAATCCACTCGTCTGTGTGTGTGTGGAGTGGGAGTGGGATTCCAAGGATGGCCAGGGAAAGGAAGAACGGCCTGAGACAGGAGATGGGGCTCCTTTATCCCGGCTGTGCCCTCCGGGGCTCTGACCTTGGGAAGGTGAGCTCTGTGTGTCTAGACTGGCGCAAGGCTGGCGAGATGGGGCTCCTCTGTGCCAGGGGAGGAGACACAGCCTAGACACACCCCCTGGGGGAGGGGCTGCGAGCACAGAACTCCACCCACATTCCCAAAGTGAGGGAGGCAGCCCGGGTGCTGGGCAGCAAATCCAGAAATCACAGCCCCTCCCTCACAACATGGCGTGGCCTTAGTGGGCGGCAGCAATGGACAAAAGCCGAGCTTTTCTGGTCAACTCACTCCTTCCAAGGCACACAGACTTGAGCTTGTCCCCTCTCCAGTATTTTCTGTCATTGACAAGTAGCTGTGACCAGCAGCCCTGAGACAAGTACAAGGGCAAGATTCGCTGTTACCCTGAGTGAATGCAAAATCTAGATTTTTTTTTATTTCTTGAAATTTATTTTAATTTTTTGAAAGGCAGAGTTGAGAGAGAGAGAGGAACTTCCATCTGCTGGTTCACTCCCCACATGGCCACAACGGCCTGAGTTGGGCCGTTTTGAAGCCAACAGCCAGGAGCTTCATCCAGGTCTCCCACGTGGGTGCAGAGACCCAACAACTTGGGCCATCTTCCACTGTTTTCCCAGGCACATTAGCAGGGAGCTGAATTGGAAGGGGTGGGCACAAACCAGTGCCCTTATGGGATACTGCAGGCAGAGGCTTAACCCACTGCGCCACAATGCCGGCCTTGCAATCTAGATTTCAAACAGTATCACCTCAAATAAATAAATAAAAAAAAAAGTAAGTCCCTGGGAGCTGCCTTCCTGCCACGCTGGACTCGCCTGCCCTTGACCTGTGTCTGATGAGGGGCCCCTCCCGGAAATGCCAGGGTTAACACTCCCGCTGTCCCATCTGCCCGCAGTAGCACAGTTAGAGTCACAGACACTCCCTGGTCGTTTTGGGTAGGAATCTTTTAAAAACGCTTGCCCAGGTTCTGAGGCTTAGTTCGGGGAAGCGTGGACTAAGTAGTCCAGATTAGCCTGATTAGTAACCTGGGACAGACTGCCAAAAACAGGCCAAAGAGGCAGGGAGTCTCAGTGTCCCCACTTCTCTCTGGAGACGCAGGGCTACACGAGGCTCCTGACACCCTGGCCGGGCGACGAACAAGGACCCGAGCACTCTAACTAGTCCCAGGTGCCCTGGCCGCTCAGGGGGCAGGTCCCAGAGACGATGCCGATCTCCAATCTGGATGCTAACACCAGCTGCCCCGCGGGTCCTGTCCAGCGCCTGGCCCTTACTGCTCCTCTTACTGCACAGTAGGAGATCCCGGTGCCTCTCACTCTCCTTCCCTCTGCAGCCTCAGTGTCCTTGACTGTGAAATGGGACTCACCAAACCCAGCCCCTGAGCTGCTGCTGGGGTGCCCACAAGGGCTGGGAAGTCACCCTCTCTCACACCCTGGAAGGTCCTGCTTAGGGGGCTGAGACCTGGGGGTGCCCCCGGGGCCTGGGGATTTTGCCTCTGCCTGCTGCTAAGACAGCAGTGGCCCTGCAGCCTGGGCCTGGCGTGATGATGGGCAGCTGCGGGTGTCGGTCCTGAGCCTGAAATCTCATACCTCCCCATCTCCAGCTCCTTCCTGCCGCCTCCTCCAGGCTGTCCTCTTCTCGGACCCCACTTTTCTTTCCTGAGCTGAGCCCACACTGGAGCTGCAACTGGCGGCACCATCCCTCCTTCCAAAACCTACAGCACCTTCTCAGTCGGGCATTCAAAGCCAGGGTGTGGCCAAGAAGGGCACCAGGACGAGGCAGTAGAGCTGGGGTGGCATGATGGTGGGGGGTGAGCAGTCGGCCTGGGTGCTGGCAACAAGGGAAGCATTTTTACAGAGAACTAAAAACAATGACCAGGGGCCGGCGCTGTGGTGTAGCAGGTAAAGCCACCGCCTACAGCGCCAGCATCCTATATGCACACCAGTTTGAGTCCCGGTAGCTCCATTCTGATCGAGCTCTCTGCTAATGAGCCTGGAAAGCAGCGGAAGATGGCCAAGTGCTTGGGCCCCTGCCTCCCCCACAGGAGACATGGATGAAGCTCCTAGGCTCTATGGCCCAGCCCTGGCTGTTGCAGCCATCTGGGGAGTGAACCAATCGAGGGAAGATTCTCTCTTTTTCTGCAACTCAGACCTTCAAACAATTAAATCTTATTAAAAAATGCGTGGCATAGTGGGTGAAGCTGCTGATTGATGTTGGCATCCCATGTGGGTGCAGGTTCAAGTCCCGGCTGCTCCACTTCCAATCCAGTTCCCTGCTAATGTGCTTGGGAAAGATGGCCCAAGTCCCTGGGGCCCTGCACCCACATGGGAGACCCAGATAAAGCTCCTGGCTCCTGGCTTTGGCCTGGCCCAGCCCCAGTCATTGTGGACATTTGGGGAATGAACAAATGGGTGGAAGATCTCTCTCTCTCTCTCTCTCTCTCTCTCTCTCTTTTTAATATAAACAACAACCACACCAACTCCAGCTTTTCATCATCACCAGAGCCCTCGGTTCTAAACAGCACTGGGGGGAAACACCCCTCCCTGCCCAGCAGCGACTCCCACCCCCCGCCCGCCCTTGTTTCCGGTCAGATCCCTAAACCATTCCCCCTCACCGTGAGCTGAACCCTGCCAAACAGTCGTCACATCCCCTGGCCGCTCGGTGGGTTTCCCCTCTCCAGTGCTTTGCTTACGCCGCTTGCTTTGCCAGTTACTCCCTCGCCACCATTCCGACTACAGACAAAAGCCCCCTCTTCCAGGAAGTCTTCCTGCCACACGCTGCCTGCCACCTGTCCCCTCATGGGTCAGGAGGCGCCATGTTTTCATTTCCAAAGGAAAATTCAGGAAAGAAAGCCACTGCAGAGAGAACCAAGCTCCCAACAGCTGTGTGCCCTCCGACAAGCGCGTGGTCTCTCCAAGCTTCAGCTCCGCACCTCTGTCACTGCACCCCCCATCCCCAAAGGACTTCCTTGCCCTCACCTCACCTCCCTTCTCATCCCACGTCCTGCACTGTGTCATGGTGTGAAAACACCCTGCCTGCTTCAGTGTCACTAATTCAGGGTACCCCCGCTGATGACGTGGTACCCACCTCCAACCTTCTATCACCTGCCAGATGTGACCAGCCCCGTGCCAGGCCCCCACTGGAGCGGCAGAAGCAGGTTCGGGTCCAAGGACAGGACCCAGGGACGCATGACCACAGACTGCTCCTCAGGTGACACAACCTGTTCAGGGACGCCCACCCCGGGAGGGCCACACACGTGGGTGCCCAGTTCTCAGGATGTCCGCTTCCTTGGATCAACGGCCTGTTTCTTCACACCATCAGGCCAGGCCCAGCACTGGATGTGCAGGGAGATCTGACCCGGAGGAGGCGGGCACACCCCAGGGCAGGCAAGAGGTGGTCTCTTCCCGCTGTGGTCGCCCTCCCCCGGCACGCAGGCCTGCGAAGGCCACCCCAGGGCCCTCCTTCGCCTGGTGCCCAGGGACACCCATCGCTCATCCCATCCCATCCCCTAATCCTCTGCTCGTCTCCACTGCCGCTGCAGCTAACGCCTGCTCGCGCCTGCTCTTTCACTCTCAGCCGCCAACTGTGTTGCCCCTGGTCTTTTAAAAATATCTAAATGCAGCATGGACACTTGGTATTGTGGTCAAGATGCCACTTAGGATGCCCACATCACATACTGGGGGGCCTGGGTTGCAGTCCCGGCTCTTGCTTCCGACTCCAGTTTCCTGCTGATACACACCCTGGGAAGCCGTAGTGATGGCTCAAGCAGTCGGGTCTCTGCCACCCACACGGGAGACCTGGGTGGAGCTCCTGGCCCAGCACTGGCTGTGGTGCGCATCTGGAGAGTGAATCAGCAGGTGGCAGATCGCTTTCAAACAAATGAATAATAAGTAATTTAACAGAGAGGTACATCTGAGCACACGCGTGGCTCTGGACATGGTTCGTCCCCTGCACAAGTCAGTTGGGGATGGGTCGGTCAGGGTCGCGGCGCTGGGGAGCAGAGCCCGTGAGAGGTGGCTGGGTCCTGGGGACTCTGTTGCTAGGGACAAGAATCCACCCGTGGCTCGTGGGTTATGTTGGCAGTGGCCGTGCCACGGGCCGGCCTTCCCAGGCTTGCTTACTCTGCCTTGTTCTGACACAGCCAGAAGCCCCGCACTAGAGGCTAAGCAGATGCCAGCACCACGCTCCTAGGCTTCCCAGCCGGCAGAAGCATGACCGAAACAGGCTTCCGTTCCTTCTAAGTCTCTAAGATCCTTTGCTGCAGCAACAGAACACAGACTGGCAGACACGCCTCGGCCACAGCTCTGCCTCTCCAGGCTCACTTTGCCCAGGGAGCGGAGCTGCTTTTCACTCTTCAAAGGCCCGTCTCCTCCAGCCTTAGGAGCTCCGCATAGACTGCGCCTTCTCCACCCTCACCTGCCTGGCCCCTACTCACCTCTCAGGTCTCAGCCCCAAAGGCCTGTCCTTAGAGCAGCCTTCTGCAGGGACCCTGAGCTGGGCTCATTCTCTACGTCGCGTGCCCTTCACCCTCCCAGCCCCAGCCCCCTCCAGGCACCTGCTCCGGGTTCTGTGGGCTCCTATGACTACCATCTCCCTTTTGGTCTGTGGGCCTGAGGCAGGGCCTGGGTTTTGCTCCTCCCTGTATGCTTAACACTGGGACCGTGCTTTGCATACGGAAAGTGATCAATACGGGGACAAAGGTCCTGTTCAAAAAATTAAATGGATAAATGTGGTAGGGGAATGAAGGAATGGGCCCCCCTGGGTGAAGTGCCAGGACCCCTTGTAGGGGGTGGATCTTGGGGGGGGACTTTCTCCAGGCCGTGCCACAGGCCAAGCCACTCCTGGAATGGCTGGAAGGGGCTGGGGCTAAGGCCCCAGTTAGCCACTGCTGGTCCACTACCTCCCTGGCTCTCCTCCAGCCCCTCCCCCACCCCACCTCCAGCACCGGGCACTCCCAAGCTGCCCCAGGGCCCCGGCTCAGGAGCTCTCTCTTTGTGGGCTTGGATGAGGAAAAAGAGGGAGAATGTGGTGAGAGCAGGTGCACACCCCAGCTTGACCTTGTGCAACCTAGGTGACCTCAAGAAAGTGGCATCACCTCTCCAGCCCCTCTTTCCTTGTCCAGAAGAGGAGGACAAGGGTACCTGCTAGGCTGCGTGGGGACTAACGAGTGGCACACGCACAGACCTAGCGTGGGGCCCGCCACGTGTCCCGTGATTCAAGACCCGTTTTTTTTTTTTTTTTTTTTTTTTTTTTTTTTTTTTTGCATCTCTGAAACTGGCGTGCAACTTATCAGTACCATTTCACTGCCTGCTGTTTTCTCTCTCTGATACAATAAAGCATCGGTCAATAAGCCAAAGAAAGGGGCTCTCACAGTAGATGGATGCTGGTCTTCCTGGAAACTTGGTGGCAGCTGACTCTCTCCACCGCCTTCACAGAGTGGCTGGAAGGTCTGTGGCAGTCCCAGGGACCAAACGCCAAGAACGTGCATCGTTGAGGGGGAGGGGTCTACTGAGGCCCAGCATTCACCCTGGAGCCCCGGAGCATCTTGGAATCGGAAGGGTCAGGTCCTCGCCGAGGTGGATGCCCCTGGATCTGTGCCAGCTGTCCCAGTCCCTCTCAGAGGGTGGCCCCAGCTCCAGCAGACCCTCACCTCTGGCTGTGACCCTAGGCTGCCACTGATGCTGCAGGTCGCTGGCCCTGGGCAGCCTGGTCACAATGCCATCTGTGTGTGCAACCACCACCCCCTTGGGCTGTGTGCCCAGCAGGAGACTTGGCACCTCTCCGGCCCCGCCCAGGAGCCCACTCCTCCAGGGTGACTCCTGCACCAAGCGAGCCATCCTGGACTGCTCCCCACTGTTCTCGAAGGTCAGCCTGTTGCACATCACCCAGGCCTCCCCAAAGCCCTCATGCCTCCGGTCACGCCCTCATCCCTGCAGCCTGGGGATGTCCAAGTGGCCTCACTACTAAACTCTCTCCCTGGTCATTAGATTATAACATACATCACACATACACATGTCACACATACACACACATGACACTCCTAGGTCTAGAAATGCCAAACTACCAAAAACACAAGAGGAAGCAAAAAGCTACCGCCAGCTGATGAGCAGCCCAGGGCCTCCGTGGGAATGTTCCAGGAGCACCTGCGCGGAGACAGACTCTCTCCCCCTCAAAGCCAAACAGGCTCAGGAACGCGACTCTGGCCTCTCCCGGGAACCCCATGCTGCTCCCCCGCCCCCACCCAGGTCCCCAGGCCAGCCCAGAGCACCCAGCCTTTGGTCCACTGGCTTCTGGGGACACCGCTCCTCCCCTTCCCAGGAACCGGGCTATCATGCCCCAGGTGCCCCACGGGCACAGGGCGCCTCCCTAGCTCTTAAATCAAGGGTGTGTCCCTCGGATTGGAGGGTGGGTCTTTCGAAACAGACCGGAAGTTCTGCCAACCCCAGACGTGGGCCTTGTATTTCCCCTGTGGCCAGGGGCTCCGGAAATCGCAGTCAACAAGGAGGAACAGGTGCCTGGCGTTTCAGTTCTCACAGCACTGCCAACCGCTTTTGAGCCCCACCAGAACCCTACGGAGTCGGCACAGCAGGTGTTTGTTTTCTCCATTGCACAGATGCACACACTGAGGGTCGGGAAGGTGGGTGGTTTCACCCATGGGCCACCCCTGCTGTCCTCCCTTAGGACAACTCCAAGGCCCATGAACAACCGGTCCAGGCCCTTCCCTGGCCCCTGCCCCCCGACGGCTACCACGGACCTAGTGGATGCTGCTCCTCTAGGGTCCCCAGCTCCTGGGCTTCCCCGCCATCCCTGTGCAAACCCAGGGGCTGTGATGGGCTGGCTCCCTGAGCGTGGACGACCCTCAAGAGGGGGCTGCTGGGGTGGTGAGCATGGCGATCAAGAGGCAGGAAATGGGCGAGGATGTGGACGAAAAAAGGGGCGTGTTGGGTGCGGGGTCAGCACTCCTTGCTTAGAGTGTGGGGGAGCCCAGTGGTCTGCAGTGTTGGACTCCAAACCGCCTGGTTGAGCCCTACCTGGCCCAGCCAGGTGTGAAGGGGAGGTGCATTTGGGGGGCTGGGGGGGAGGGGTTGGGGGCCTCTGCCCTGCTGTGTCAATCCCAGGGCCTTAGGAACACAACCTAGAGTCGCTCCAGAGCTGAGCACTGCCATGGCCCCGCCCTAGGCCAGCACTTCAGCCTGTGGCTTTTACCATTATGATGCCATTTAGCAGGTGCGGAGGAGGGAAAAGGCCCTGGCCCCAGGCTACGCAGTGGCTGAGCTGGGGCTGAAGCCAGGGCTGCATCCCTGGCAGCAGGTGGCCCCAGGAGCCTGGTGGCAACAGCCAGAAATTCATGCACAGTCAGCGCACGAGAGACAACTCCCGGGGGGCCTGCAGCCTTGGCACAGGCCCAGCCCCTCGCCCCACTGCCACCTGCCCAGGAGAACGACAGGGGTAAGACTCTGGCGGCCAGGGAGCAGAGGCCTGCCCGGGCAGCCCCCAGCACTCCCTGTGGGCAGTGTCATGCCATTTGCCAGCCCCTGCGAACTCTGGGCTCGAGGCCAGGCTGGAAGCAGCTGTCACATTAGGCCTGCACAGTTCCCAGCTCCCTGATTCTTCCTACTTGAATGCGACCTCACATATCTGCTCCGCGCTGGCTCACAGATGCTGCGCAAGGCCCTGCCTCTCCCTGGGCCTCTCTCTCTCTCTGACTGGAACATCACACCAGGGGTGGGGGGGTGGCAGGTGGCGGTGAGGGGGTGGGCTGGGCATCTCGATGGGACCCACCAGCTCTGACCTCCCAGGCTCTGCCCACAGGCAGCAGGGCCTGGACACTGGAGGCAGAGACACAGGTTCAAAGGCATGGCCCTGGGCAAGCTGCCCAGCTGCTTTGGGCCTCAGTGGTCTTATCTATCAAATGGGGATAATAGTAGAAAAAGGTCTGGAAGTAAATACATCGAAACGTTTTGATTACACTGGATGAGAAGCTCGTTTTCTCGCCTTTTTCTGTAATTCGCCTTTACCACTAAGCATTTATAGCAGGAAAACCTGAATGTACTTTCTTAGTAAATTAACTTTATTGAGATACAAGTTACAGACGATATCTTTTTAAAGAGGGGAAATGATAAACAGCAGTTATCTCCCCGACAGGTTGTTATGAGGATCCGATCAGTGCATCTGTGCAAAATTTTAGGCGGTTCCTGGAGGTGCTAACCAGTGTTTGTTCAACCAGTAAGCCCAGGCCCGGCCTGGCCTCCTCCTCTCCTGCTCACCTGGCCTGGACCCCCACCTGCCTCCCAGCACCAAGTTCTGCGGCTCTGCTGCCCCCGCGCCCGCAGCCCAGGCCCACCCCTCACTGCGCACCTGGGCTGTCTCATGGCCATCTCTCTGCAACCCCCTCTCAGCCCGCTCTGGCCTCCAGCACTGAATCCCATTCCCTGGGGGAGTGGGGGCGGGGGAAGGTGCTGTCAGCGACGGGAATTCGCTGCTCACAGCTCTGAGGCTGAGAAGGCCCAGGTCAAGGCAGCGGACTTGCTGTGTGGCCAGAGGAGACCCCTTCTGGCTGTGTCCTTGCACGGCGGAAGGGGGAGGGTCTCTCTGGGCCTTTCTTCTTCTTTTTAAGATTTTTATTTATTTATCTGAGAGGCAGAGTTACAGACAGAAAGAGGGAGAGACAGAGAGAGAGAGGTCTTCCCTTTACTGGTTCACCCCCCAAATGGCCACAACAGCCAGAGCTGGGCCAATCTGAAGCCAGGAGCCAGGAGCTTCTTCTGGGTCTCCCACGCGAGTACAGGAGCATAAGCACTTGGGCCATCCTCCATTGCTTTCCCAGGCCAGACGCAGGGAGCTGGATCGGAAGAGGAGCAGCTGGGACTCGAATCGGCACCCATGGGGGATGTCGGCATCGCAGGCTTAGCCCACTACACAGGGCCGACCCCTGGGGCCTTTCCTTTAAGAACACAGATCCCATCACGAGGGCTGCGCCTTCCTGACTCAACCATGCCGAACGCCCTGGCCAGCGAGGATTTCAACAGAGAGACCCTGGGGCCACCACGCTCACACTGCAGCATCCTCAGCCCTGGCCTGCCCCTGCCCTGTCTCAAAGTCTTCCATGGCTCCCCGGTGCCCTCGCGGGATGCCCCAGCTTCACCCCAAGACCCTGCTTCAGCAAGTCACTAACCTCTCTGTACCTTTGGTCCCGAACTAAAAAACAAACAACAGCAGGCTTCCACACTGCACGGGCAGGGCACACAGTGTGGCCGAGAGCCTTTGTCTCCTGTCTCCCCTGCTTCTCTCGGCTCTGCTCCAGTCTGCTCTTCTGGGAACATGCCAGGCGGGGTCCCAGCTTCTGGCTTTTGCACAGGCTGTGTCTTTCACCTCGACGGCACAGGTCAGCCTCTCCGGGAGCCCCCCGGAGCGCCCTGTAATCATGGCAGCTCAGCTCCCGTGCTCCCCGCCACACCGTGACCTCCTCCGCGGTTCCATCGGTTCCATCTCATTGCCCACTGTCCATCTCACTGAGTGCCTATGATCTGCCCGTTTCCCCGTGTGATGATGAGCGAGCTCCTTCAGGCTGATCTTTCTGGTGCACCAGGCTGTCAGACGCCGCCCACACCCCCGAGCTCACACCCAGCGCAAGGTAGGTGCTGAGCGAACGCTGGCTGAACGACGGGATGGAACACGGGACGGCAGGCACGCACCGTGCTCAGCCCCTCCGGGTGAGGCTCTTCCACCCACCTCCCTGACGTGTCCAGCTTATAATCACACCTGCCCAGGCCCCCCTGCATCCTGCCGGTCTCTCAATTACAGTAGGCAGCGGTGATTACGTCTCTAATTATATCTTCTTCCACCTGGGCTGAGCCAAATGGGCACATTTTGTCGGTTAAAAATGGTCGGATAGTGGCTGTTTCACGTAGTTTAACCCAGTATGTGTCCCACAGCGCCCACTAGTGTTTGTCCACAGAAGTGGCACTGTCTGCTCCTGGCCAGTAACCTGCAAAGCACCTCCAAGTGCAGACCCACAGGCTCCAAGTGTAGATCCACAGGCCAGAGGGTGCTGCGGGGTTCTCTCTGGTCCTCCTGAGATCTTGAGAGAAGATGAAAACACTCCCCAGTCCGGAACAGCCTAGGCTGCCGCCACATGGAAATAACAGAAGTGTGGGGCTTGCTTAAGCCTTCCCAAGTGGGAAAAAACCAGCTTGCTTGCATCTAAGGACATTAATTTAATGATGGGGGAGGGAGCTGGAACATTCTTTGGTGGTCACGCCTTCCAATGAAAGGCTCTGCCACAGTGATTCGCTAAGTCTAGAACGTGGGTTCTCAGAGCTGAGACAGATTCAGCTGCGATGGAGCAGGCTCCCATTTTACAGATGGGAGAAGTGAGGTTCAGAGAGGGAAGGGGCGGGTCCAAGGTCCCCCCATGGGACACAGGAAGGTTTCTCCTGGAATCCGGCTGCTGACTTTCTCCCTGGATTCCACTGCCTGGAGCAGCCTTAGGCCACCACTACCTTTTAAGCTCAACTTTTCAAGTGAGATGCGATGGGAGGCAGCCCCAGATAAAACGCTAGAGCTTCTGTACTCTAAGACAACTTATCAGTCCCCTCCTTAGGGTAAAGTCCCCAGAGGAGCAGGCCAGGGACAAAGGGCAGGTAGGCTTGCTTTCAGGGTCCACCGGGCTCCCCCCACTCCCTCTCCCAGCCAGCAGGGAGCTTTGCACATTCACATT